AGAGTATCCAAGAAATAGGATACCCTCCCTCCCCCCTCTCTCTCTAGCATATTATGTATAATGTTTTATGTAGTCATACACGCTGCCCCTATTTCCTGGCCCTTTTTTTCCCCTCTCTCAGGGCTGGGGAAATGTATAAAAGTGGGAGTTGGGGCAAAACTTTCTTTGGGTAATGGAAATTTGTTTTATTCATTTTGACATTTGTAGATCCATAAAGTTTCATATCCTTTTGCTTGTTCATGCATATTAGCATAAAATGTTGTAGGGCATTTCTTTTCTATCGTAAAGGTCAGTTGCACGTCATTAGAATTATGAACGAAATGTCCTCAGTAACCATGGTAAGAAAGGAATGCAACAGAAAAAGCATTTTTCTTGCTCAGGTTCAGACTCCCCCAGGATTGCTAGCTTGTTTTCAGTGGAGTTCATCTTGTATTATACTTATGGTTATGTTTGTTTTTCTTTATATAGACTTGTTTCTTGAACTATAGAGAGTGCTTAATCACAGTCTAATAGTGTCTGAACATTCCTTTTCCAAAGGTTCATAACTTTGTTGAATTTCCACTAGGTTTGCTGTTGGTAGAATAATTAATTACCTGTTCTGGTTTTTGCATTTCACTTTTTGGAACGATATGCTTCAGTCTGTTTTTTCAAGAGAAAGAAAGAAAAAAGCAATCGGAGCACATTTTGATTTCTGGACAGTAGTAGCACTGTAGGTGGAGGAGGAGGAAGTACATTGACATTTACAGGGAAGAGAGTTCTTAACCTGGATTTGTGGCCTTTTGGTATGTGGTGCAAGTCTGACCGATTTGATAGTTATAATGGTTTAAATATTTTTTTCCAAGCACACGTGGTAACTTCTTTTTAGAAAAGATTTTGGAGATCTTCCAGTATTCTACTTGCCATAGTTATATCTGCTTAATAAAAATATTTACTGTTTTAGTCTTTATAACAAAGATTGTAATAACCCAGTTCTTTTGATTCTTGATACTTGAGTTGCTTTCAGAATCCTTTTAAATGAGTCTGTAAGAGAACACAGCTACTTTTGCAATATCTAACATACTTATGATTCATTTCTGTGGCTATGATTTATATGGTTGATCAGCAGCATCTAACTTGCATTAACACCTGATCAGCTTCCATTATATTTTGTGTGGGCTTGAACTAGATGACTTCTGGAGGTCCCTTTCGGCCCTACTTCTCTATGGGCACATTTACACATGCTCTGGGGGGTAGGGTAGGCAGCGATTTAATGAGTGGCTCCGAGAGCTGCTCTAATTAATTTAAAGCACTGCCATGTCTCGTGTATCAACATTACCCAGCTTAAAAATAGCAGTGGGGGCGCTTGAATTTAAGCTTGTTTGATGAGATTTAGTTCAAGCATGCCCGCCGCTGCCTTCCCCCCCATCCCCGCTTTTAAGCAGGGAAATGCTGATGCACAAGACGCAGGAGGCTGCCAGAGCGCGGCAGTTGCCACACTCCAGCAGACTTGATTAATTGAGTCTGTGCCGAAGCAGAGCAGCCTCTCTGCTCGTGTATAGACACCCTATGATTCTAAAACTAGTTTCCCTAGACAGACGAAATTTACAGTTGTCTGCTGATTATAGAATAGGCATGACCTGAAGAAGAGTGCTGTTTTCCTGGAAGCTTATCCTAACATCTCCCCTCCAAAAAAAACAACACATTACTTCTTGGAGACTGGAGACCCAGACCTCCTAAAAATATACTAGGAGCTGCTATCTTCTCCTTATGGTATCTTACTTCTTCCTTTCAGTGTAGAGATTTTATGATTTTAATATATCAAGTATTAAAGGATCTGTGGCTTGTCCTGTTTGGTTCTGTCCTTGGGATCTATATTTAAGGAGTTTAGTGTCATAGGGAAAAGATTTCAACTTTAATTTTTCTTCATTACTTTACACTTTGTTACTTTTAAAAAATGATTTGGGTGTGTTTAACCCCGGTTATTTGGGTGTATTGTTGGCTTTTTTTAACCTTTATTTTTTAAAAATGTAAGTGCTAGAAACATGCATCTAAATTCTTGACGCTCTTTTAAAGATTTAAATTCATAATAAAAAAATACTGATCTATTGAAATGAATAGCCCATTACAGCGTGAGATCAGATCAGATCATGACTGTAGTCACCTCATGCTGGTAAATAACTTAAGTGTCACTTCATCCACTCTCAAAACATTCTTCCAAAAAACAAAACAAAAGAGTACGCCAGATGGCTTAGAAATTGAAACCTCGTCGCTCTAAGGGGGTGGGGATGGGTTCTTCTACAGCCCAGGAGGCTGTCACAGAAATCTCTGCCAGCCACTCTTCTCTGTATTGAGGTGGCTTTAGTTTCAACAACTATGATCAGAGCTGTGGCGATAGCACAAGAAGGGGGACTTTGCTCCATTAATCCAGGACTAAATAATTTATGGCTTTGAAGGTCAAAATCAAATTCTGTATTCCAAATGCAGGGGTTTAGGTTGTAGCCATGTTGGTCTAAGGCCATAGGCAGACAAGGTTCCTTGGGTGAATTTGATATCTTTTATTAGACCAACCCAAATGGTTGGAGAATAGTTATTAAGCAAGCTTTCAGGTTCAGAAACCCATTTGGGTTGGAGAATAGTTATTAAGCAAGCTTTCAGGTTCAGAAACCCATTTGGGTTGGTCTAATAAAAGATATCAAATTCACCCAAGGAACCTTGTCTGCCTGTATTCCAAATGGGAATCTAAGAGAGTCTATTGAGCACGTCTGCTGCTAAATATAAAGCTGCTTAATAAGTGAGTTCCTGACATGCTTCTAAACAGCAGTATTGCCACAAATACTGTGTTTTATATTAGGCTAACACTGAGCACTGAGGTGACAAAAGTATGCATAGGCTGGATGAATTTAGCATCCAGGAGTTGAACTGTTTACTGAGCATGCAGATGGGAGAACATGCTCTTGGCTATTCCTTTGCAGCCTCTGGTCTAATGCTCCCACAAAGTTTTGAACTTGTTTCATAAATAATGAATGCACATCCTCAGTTAATAGTACTGATATAATTTTAGTCATTTCTTCCTCAGACTTACTGTCATTAGTTCTGCTTTGTCCAGGTAATGTGTCTGCCAGCTAACCTGCACCCATAAAAGCGTATATACCTTCTTAGTCAGACCTCAATCACTTTACTGGCTATTGTATAAAAAGGAAAACACTTCAAAGCTATAGACCACAGGGGCAGTACTATTTTTTGAAAGAAAATGGTCATAGCAAGTCAGTCAATTTACTGATGCTGGCCTGAGACTACCTATGCCCTGATTGGTACCAAAAGACAAGTAATGCACACAGTGAAGACATCTTAATTATTTTTTCCCCACAAACTATTCAGAATAGAGAAACCATGTAGCACAGATTATAGCGTGTTTTTTATTTATGAAGAATATTAACATGTAAATAAAGAATAAAATTGTTGCAGTCTCTCTTGCTTTGAACGTGAGAGAGCCTGTTTCAGTATTTCTAGAACAGTATACAGTTTCATCACGTTTTATGTGTATAACATAAAATTCAGCAGAACCCTGGAGAACAACAAGCTAAATAAAGAGGAAATAGCTTTGGGACAGTGGCATTGTCGGGGAAAAAGTCTTGGCTTTTAAAGAGTGAAGAGGCACATTTGAGTTGCACATCTTTTTTGTATTCAGACAGTAGTTGTGGATTACACCAACTAGAATATTCTATTTGATACAATTTATATCATGCCATCGTTTTGGTGTTTTTATTTTTGTTTCATGTTTTTTCGGCAAAATCAAGAAGTCTTATCTGGCAAACTAGAGTAGTTGCATATAATATCCTTTTTTTAAAATATTTTATATACAAGGTATTGTTGAAACCTTTCTATGGAGAAATGCTCTGTCTAAATGGTTTTCAGTGTTTAATTTACAAAACAAATGTTTTTGTAAATATCTCCTCTGAGAGTCAGACCATTGCAAAAGAGGACTTGTGATGCATATCTATACACTTTAATTTCCTGCAGTGTTTGTCAGGTTTCTTTACTAGCGTATTACGGCTGTTTTCAGAATTTTCTTCCCAGGGCTGTTTGTTAGCAGCTTCACCATATTGTCATTAAATAGAAAATGAATAGCCATTTAGTTTCTCTGTGACAGGGCTTATTTACTCCAGCCTTTATGTAAGATTGACAAGTCAAATCTCCTTTGGTTCTGAAAAATACAGGTAGGCACTGAATGCAGACAAACCTAGAACACAATTTAGACTGAAATATATCTTCTTTGGGGTTTTGAATAGTAATTGTTATGCTGCTGCTTTCATAGTATCCTTTGTGAGTTGTGGAATTTGTATTGTTTTGTCATGTTACATTGTTTAGCTATTATAGGCATTCCAAAATCATTAACTAATTAATGTGAACTGTTTCTTCCATTTTCCAGATGGACTTTCTGCCCGAGACCAGCCAGTGGAGCTGCTGAATCCACCTAGAGTGAACCACATGCCTAGTTCTGGTAAGAGGGAAAATGCCTTTTTTGACAAGTTATGTTACTTCAGAAAGAAAGACATGCAGAATATTATTTTATCTTGCAAGATAGATAACATTATAAGTGTAAGTTTAGTGGATGAGGACTTGAATTATTCTATTTTCCTAGGGCAAATAAAAATTGTACCAAAGTGCTGGCTTCTCAGAGAAAAGAAAGGAGGAGAAAGATGCAGGGAGTCTTAGGTGGTTATTTCCCTTCTAGGTGACTAGGGAGACTGCAGAATGGCTGGAACTGCTAGGATTATTCACTTGAAATTGGGGGAGTGCGAAAGAAAGGAGGTAAACCAAAGCAACATGTGGAGTACTATAGTATTTTCACAGGATAAGAGGGGAATTGTGAAACAACAACTTATAAGCTGCTGCTTCTGCTAGAGGAGGAAGAGTGAGGAGTAGAATTTTTTCATGGTGAAGTTCAGCAAAATAACCAAGCCCAGCATAGACTAATTTTTTTTTTTTTGGGTGGGGGGTAGCAAAACAAATTACATCTGTTTTCTTTCTTTCTTTTCTTTCTCTCCCCCCCACCCCTTGCATTTTTTTAAATGGTACCATATGACAGGATTTTCACTCTTGGCTTTCAAGAATATAATCGGGAAAACACCCAGGGCATTTAAAATTTGACCCAGGAGAAAGCACATTTGTACTACTGGCTAGAAGAATCTACCAATTCACAGCTGTAATGGTTAGAGTTGTGGAAGACTAGGCTTGTCAGGCCAAAGGCTATGCGGCATGGTGGAAAAAGGCATCCAACCAGGTCTATTTTCGCTCACAAGAGAAACATTGGGAATTTAAAAAGCTTATCTCTAAGGGCCAAGATGTGATTTAGCCTTGGATGTGGATGGTGTAGTTGTGAGGTCACTTGCTTCGGAATAGATGTTTTCAGGTCTTCTGGGCATCAGGTGTCTGAGTCGGTCAGGTTAGAGGCCTCTTCCCATAACTCCCTGTGACTTGGCTATGGAAGCTTGGCTAAAGATCAAGGTTTGCAGCTGTGTACTAAGATGCTTTTAATGGTCAAATACTGAGAGAAGTTGCAGATTAGCTGTATGATGGAAAGCAGGTGGGAGGCCTGTTTTTAGAGCTTATATCTTGCTTCTCATGCCCTCCCTTCATGAGAGGGATGGCAAAATCTCTCTGTAGAAAGCCAGACCTTTCAAGGTCATAATTCCTTTTTTTAGCAAACACTGAAAACATGAGGGTTTTTAAAGTGTTCTACAGGGTCAGGTTTGCCTGCTGCTATCAGTAGTGTTCCAGGACTTGCCCATTTGAGATGGGCATTGATTTTAATTCATGTGTTTCAAGTAATATATAGTGCCAGACAAAACTTGGGTCCCAAGCATTAAAGTTCTCTGAAAATCCTTCCTTTTCTTTTTTTTCCTAAGCCATCAGATATTGCAATAAATCTCATTCTTCCTAAGGGAACACTTGGCACTAAGTGAAAATTAAGGTGTTATTTTGGGTATACTTCAGTAGACAAAATTACAGAACAGTTCTGACCCAGATAGATTTTTGGGGTCCTGAATAAATATCTGGGCAAATAAAACTTTTAAAAATAGTAAACTTATTACATTTTAACATTGAACGTGAACTGGTCTCTGAAATGTGCATAAATTTGCCAAGGGACTCTTGTGTTGATGATGAGCTTTTTTGGATGAAAACAATATCCCTATCCATGTCCTCTGTTATGTTAAAATAACCCTAGCCTTTGATCTGGAGGGATTAAAGCCCTTTTAAAACAGGAAAATACTCTCCCAACTTATTTCTTTTTGACACCAACTCACTAGGTATTACTGCTGTCAAATAGACTAGGAGGATAGGTAGCTGAATAATTTCCTTTTGTTAACTTTGCACTGGCATGAAGCTAGGAGGTTGCTCCATTGGAGGTAAGTCTTCCAACACTTTCTCAAGGAGTGATGTGGCCTTTTACAAAGTGGGACTGCCTAGGTTCAACCTCTGAAAAATCTCACTTAGTGCCTTCTGGTCCAGAACTTATTCCCAAGATAAGGGAAATGAAACATTTTGTTCTCAGTCCTCTCTAAGAAACTTTCACTTTATTTTAACATGACCTTTGTTTTCCAAATACAAGTCAAATGTGCTTTTTGTCTCCGTGTTGTCTCCTTCTAAGAGAGAGGTTTTTTTTGCGGAGCCAAGATGTACAGGAAGCATCATAGTTCTTTTCAGTAACAATATATTCAAGGAGTGAACAATACTATATGTGTCATGTTGAAAATCTCCCCGCCCCCCACCGTTAACCTGGTTTATTACTACTTATTCTGATCTTATGTGCTTTCTTTTGGGACATCCCTTGATATTCGCAGATAAATGGATATATTTATCAATAACTTAGTTGGAGATTGGAATCTTTTTAGCATTTTCATTCTTTCTTCCTGTCTCCCATAAATGACTAGAGACTTCTTAAAGGTAGTCCTAGATTTACATATCTGTTGTGGGAAAAGGGCATGGTGGGGGGAAAACTGAGGCCCTTACAGTGTAGGAGGGAGTGGAGCTGCAGCTGGTGCTACCCAGCTGGGGTGGGACATGGGACGGAACTCTGAACGGTTTATTGGAGGAGCATGGGGTGGGGGGCAGTTCCTGCTGTTGTGCGCACCCTGGTGAAGGCATGGGGAGGCACGTGCTCCCTGGATCTCTGCACAGGGTGAGGGCAGGCTGCTGCTGTGGGCTGGAGCCGGGGGGGTGGCACCAGGCTCTTCCCAGCAGGGGCGTTGGGCTGGGGCTTCACTCAGGGCGGACAACGGAACTGGGAAGGGGGGCTATGTGTGGGGGGCTGTGACCACCCCAAAATTCTCCATAGCTCCCCCAACCCCTCCGTAGCCCCTCCTCCTAGTGCTGCTACTGTCTGCCCCAAGCACAGACCTGGCTCAGTCCCCCTTCCAGGAAGCAGCCCCTGGCTCCAGCCCACAGTGGCATCCTGCCCTCTCCCATGACTCCCTGGGTGTGTGTGCAGCAGTGCCCCCCCCAACACCATGGAGAAGCCACTTGCTGCTCAGTCCTGCACCCCACCCTGGGTGGGCAGTACTTGCCCCACTCCCTCCCTCCCCATGGGGGGCCTCGATCTGCTCTCCCCATGCCCCTTCCTCAGAACAGACTTACCAGCCAGATGCTGTTCTTTAAGCTGCCAGGCTGCTTATTGGCAATCAGATCCGTATCGGCCGATAAGGCTCGTTAATAATTGGCCATCGATTTCGGCCCAAAAAATCTTTATCAGTGCACCCCTAATTATTTTGGAGGAAGTAAAGTATACTCGATAATGTATCATACTATTCATGGTAGAAGGATTTTTTTAATAGAAGTAAAAGATCCTGTGTCTCTGAATGTTCATTTCTTGTTCAGATCTGCTTAACTGAAAACACTGTCCCTGTCTCTTATCCTTCAGTCTAATCTGTGATCTGCAGTGTCCTGGAGGAGTGCAAATGACTTGGCAACTTGTGCTAGGAGAAGATAAAGGATGCTATTTTTGGAAGGGTGATTTAGGAACTTAAACCTCATTGGCTTTCAGTGGGACTCAAGCTTCAAAGTGACTTGGGTTTTTTTGAAACATGTACCTGTGGTCTCTAATATAGTAGACCTGATCCACTGATGGCTTTGAAAAAAAGTTGCATTCTTTTGAGAAACAAAATTACATGAGTTTTGTGTTGTGTAAAATTTGGGTTATAACAGAAGAATTTTAAAACTGCCATTTTGAAGTTCCCAAGTAACGGTAACTATAATCTTACCTTGGTAGCTGTGCTGCAGCAGTTAATGAATAAACATATTTTCATGTATTGTTGATGTGATAAAAGCATTATAAATGAAGCAATTTTGACTCTTGCTCACTAGGAACACAAGATTTTTAATTGTAAAGGTCTTACTGAATTTGTTAGTACATTAAAATTTCTAGTTACGCCTATTTGTAGTCTTCAGATGATGAAATGCATTGATGCTGCAATAATATTTGGAAGTCCTAAGAGGCCTGGGTGCCAAACTACTAGTTCCTTTTACCCAAAACCTACCGAATTTTTTAATGTAATGCTGCTGTGTCTTCATTTTTATTTCCTGAATTCATAAAAGTTCTTCACAGGATCTGACAAAATATAGTTTGGAAGTTTCATCATGAAGCCAAGTCATTAGCTGAGAAATAGCTTTTGACATTTTTTTTAGCTCACAGAACAAGTAGCTGTCTCTGTTTTTTCAATGGATGTGCACTAACAGTAAGAGATATGTTGAGAGATCATCATGCAGAGTTTAGCACACAGATAAGGGTGCTTTTATTTGTATGTTTGATCTGTGGCTACACTACTTGAATGAAAGCATCTTTATTATTATCATTCTATAAAACTAGGTCTCCAGTATTAAATACAGGTTATCTATTAAATACAGATAATCCATTTCAGGATATATGTTAAATTTTATAATGTATTGTAGATTGCCTTCCTTCCATATCTTATCAAACATCTCCATTAAGTGTACTTTTATTATTTGGATGAGCTAGATTTTTTTTTATAAGCCCCTAAATTTGATTCCTTTTTAGATAGGCTTGAAACAGTAGTTTTCTTGTCAGTGTAAACTTTGTTGTTGCTCATTTTGTTACAATTGAAGGTAATCTTGAGCAATTTCTCTACTATTGGAAGTGTGAAAACAACCTGATGTATATAATTTGCAAGAAAAGTGCTAGAGTGCACCTTGGGAATTTATTCTATTTAAACTTAAAAGCTTTTACTTTGAGTACTGTGCAAATGGGATTAATTGTCCACAGTTTATTAGTCCTTTTATCTTCATTATGCAAGTCATGACTGAAAAGTAAGGTTCTAAGGTTCTAGGTAGTGTCTCCATAGCATATTCCACTATGTTGACTGAGTTTGTTCAAGGAAAGTCTCTCTTCCAAAACATTTTATCTGGATAGTTTTATTGGTGGGTGTAGTTCAAGGACATGTAATGCATCAATTACTGTAAAAGAGTTGTAATAATAATATGCTT